CCCCCTTTATGTGCGCGCACTGGCGCTGCCGCTCGGGCTGCCATAAGTTGGCTGGGGTTGTATGTGCGCTGGTAACAACAGACTCGGGCAGGAGCACTTGGAGTGCAGTCAGCAACCGCACATCCAGGGCCGGGGAGCTCAGAAGCGCACCCAGCGGGCCGGATGATTGGCATCGGGTTACGGGCAAGAAAGCCCTAGCCCCGGGGGTGCGCGTTCGCAGGGAAAGGGCCTTAAAGTAAACGTGCCCCGAGTTCATTTTATTAAGTTTGCAAAACGATGGGCAAGGGCGGCCCGAAGAAAGCCAAGCAAAAGACGGCGGCGCCAGTCGCGGCCGCGTCCTCCTCTGCGGCCGGCGGCGCCTTCCGCTCGCGTGCCGTGGGCGCCGTCCTCCTCGCCGCGTTCGCCATCGGCTTGCAGGCGCTCCTCTCTTCGAACGCGCCCTCGGCGGAGGTCCCTCCGCCTGGTGCGGCTCTTGCGCCTGTTGCGGCGCCGCGCGGGCCTCCTCCCGCCTGCCCTGCGGACTGGCCTGCCTGCCCGCGAACCGCGGGCGTCGACTGGGCGGCGGCCGACGCGGCGGAGGCGGAGTCAGACCTGTCGCCGGCGGCGCTCAGCGAGGGCCTGCACGGCTGCAACGCCACCGCTCTCCTCTCGCCGCAGCGCGTGCCTGGCATGCACGCCATCTGCATTCTCCCGCCTCCGGCGGGCGAGGAGCGGGCGGCGGCGACGCTGGTCGTGTACGACTCGATGCGCCGCGCCGAAGGCGGGAGGGAGGGCGGGAGGGTCGTGTCGCTGCTGCTGCCCGCGCGGCTGAGCGACGCGTCACACGTGGCTGCGGCGGTGCTGCGCCGGCTCGGGGTGAGGCCCAGGCCGCGCACGCCCTCCGGCCAGTACCAGCCCGCAGCGCTCTTCACCGACCGAGGCGTGCGGGTCGTGTCGGCGGGAGGGCGGCTCTGGCTGGGAGAGCATCGGTTCCTTCCTGCTCGTTTAGGCGTGCGGGTCGTGTCGGTGGAGGGGCTGCTCTCCCTCGCGAGCGGCTCCGGCGCGGGGACGGGGCACTACGGCGGCGG